TGCTGCCCCAGCCTCTAAAACACTCCTCTGGCGAGCGCAGGTGTTGCCAAGAGGGTACACTCTCCACCACATCTGAGGTGCCTACGCTGGTCGATGATACCGAGACCATATGTACAATGAAGCCTCAACCAGCAGACGACGTTCCTTTTATCTCTAATGGCCATGAACCGGACGTTAATAATATACTCTCCATGGTATCCGATGAATCTACGCTTGTCGAAAATTCTAGGATTATTAAAATTCTTCTAAAGAATCAGCCATTTATCTTATATAATGATCCTTCAGACACCCAAGATATAGTGTTGGTCCGATCTACCCAATTTCGAAGATTTCTCGAGCAAGAAGAATAACACCGGCAATAGGCTATGAACGTTCTATAGCTAGCTATAGTCTTAGAAAAGCATAGGGAACAGTAGCCGGGTGCCTATATCCTACTATAGCTGCTTAGCCTGCGCAGAGTTATAATAATGGGCGATATAGACTGTAAATCAGACAAAAATTGGCGGAGGCACTACGGCGAGTCCCTTATCGCCGGTAGCCTAACAAAGAACGGGAAGATCTAGTTAGACGGCAGAAAAAGGCTCACCAACCACGGGACCTTCTATAAGAGCCGGCTTGATCATGCCTATATTCCCCCAGCCGGTGGGTTATATAGGCTCGATTTTACAGTCTTTGGAGTTGTTGGTTCATTCAAAAAGACAGCATATCTATCCAATGAGGAAATATATCGTCCTAAGAAGCAAGGAATTTACCTATATACCTCTCAGGTTAAGAATCAAGCAGTTGTGAGACACGCTAGCAGACCATGCAACCATTGCGGGTGTGATTTGGGATGTGGAAAAGAAAATGTTCAACCATGGACGGAACGCTCACCCCCCGGTATAGCGCTAAGGCTAAGTGAATCGAGTAATCCGGCTCTGGGAGATGTTTCTAAGCGGGGTAATCTACACGGAAGGAAAAGGGCAGGAACCAGGCAGGACAGTGTAAAGGAGAAGCGCCAGAGAATGTAGATATGGCCTGTTTGTAAATACCAGTCAATAGATCCATATTTAGCTGCAGACTTATATACCTTAATTTTTCATACAGAATATTACACCTAGATAGCGAGGGCAGCCAATGATATTGCTTCCGTATACGGATAGAAAATTGGGGGCGGATAATTCATTGACAAGGGGATTCTGTTGCCTAGTTTCACGTGATTCCAATACATAGTGAGCGATTTCCGATGGAAGAACATAGGTTTTCTAACGAATTTCCTCGTTCCCCTCTAATGCCTCGACGTTAAGGAATATGCCTCCAATACTGTCACTCGATGATGCGATGACAAAGGTCTCCAAAACAGCAGAAACAATAAGGTTACGGGGAAATATAAAACCACACGAAGAAAAACGCATACAAGAGGCGTTTGCCTTGCTTGCTAGAGAACCTGCATCTGCACCCAGTGCGAAAACGAAGGGGCGACGGAATACATTCCGGGATTTCTTGATCAAGTTGAACGATTATAATTGCGGTCCGCAGTTCGTCGTACTTTGCGTGGTTGGTCTTGGTCAATCGGTGATCGCATCGATGAAAGAAGGAATCCGTCTCCGTTTGCCGCCTGAAATAAAAGACCACGCACACACATTAACAGGCCCGGTCTTGCAGCGCCTTACGGAGGACTGTCTCAAGAAAGGTATGTACGCCCACCTTGAGATGGTTTTATGAATTCTAACATCGACAGCACCACCAAGTACGAGTACTGTATTGGAGAATGAAGCACTTGTAGATGTGCAATACCGGAGAATGGAGCTTCAGCAACCTTCCCAGTCCCTAGGGGAAAGTGATATTTATTATTTAGAATACAATAGTCTTCGCTTCGCTCCGACAATAAAAAGGGTTTGGGGCAGCCATATCAGAAGTAGCCGGTGTGGACCACGTGATAGTCACCTGACGTAGTCTCTTTCAACAGGTAAGTATCTGATAACTAATAGAAGTAAAAACATGACGAACAATAATTGATATTAAACACAAGTCTCTCGAGGAATCTGGCCAACCCAATCGTCGATTCTCGCATGCCGCCAGCCCTCCTCATGTTCATCGTATTCTTCGCTGGAATCGTTATCTTCCTCCATCTCATCATATCTATAGCACGTCGACTCTTCCCAGTCACTATCGTTACTGTCGTCATGAACCGCGTCAGGAATGTCTGCAGCCCCTTTCAGCGCCACCAGACGTTGAAGTACCCATTGCATCTCTAGTATATGCCAGTCCGGCAACGGTAGCTTCTCAGGGTCCTTCGTTATCAGCTCTATAACTTCACCCGACCTGATGATATGCTCATCTCGGGAGCTGCAGATCGCGATATCTTTCGGCCGGAAATCATGGGCGAGGGCTGGGATGTCCATCAGGTCAACCATTTCCTTAGATCTTTCAACCTGACGCTTATTCAACCAGTAGAAGCCAAGTTTTAAGGATCTTCCATCTGATGTCGCTTCGATGGGCTGGAGCGCAAATAAACCTTTCGCATGGTATCTGTGGAGTGAAAGAGAAAAAGATACCTCATTCTCAACAAATTCGGTACCATTTTTGAAACGACCTTCCCATTTCCCGATACGCTGGGCCCACAAATTTTTAAGCAAGCTAAAGAAGTTTGCTCGGTCGTCGCTTTTATTAAGAGAAACAGGGAATAAATGAGCGGCATCGATAGGTCCAGCGCTCTTAGTAACAATGCACTTGAAATCATCTCGCTCCTTGCACTATAGCCCGCTATTAGGAGGGAATATAACTCCGGGGATAAGTGAGAAAATAAAAATGCAGACTCACCATCCTGCTAACCAGTTGAGATCTAGACGGGCTTGAATCAATAGATATATTCCGCGATGTACTACGCTTTCTCTTGAGGCATTGTTCTCCCGAAGCCCGGGGTTCCGTGCTCGACATAGCTTGTCGACGTGGTGATGGTTCAGAATAATTGGGTTGTGGCGAGCGTGCTTGGGCAGAAGAGACGGTCGAGCTTGGACGAGGTTTCTGACACCCTGCCAGTGGCGAAATTGACATGTTAGGCACAGAAATAATTCGAAAGAGGGGCATCTCAAACTCACATTTTCCGACGATTTCATCCTCCTCCATCGAGCTCGAGAGTCCTTTCCGCATTGTGGCTTTTCCCTCCTCAGTTGCATTCTCGAACGACTGGCATAGCCCTTCTAGGTACTGGATATCACATAACATCAGAGAAGCCTGAGCACCCCGAGCGACTTTGTGATCTTCCAGGAGCCCCTTCAGCCTTCTCAGTAGCTCCAGGCGGACAGGATCGCGGAGTTCCGCTCCTGGCCCAATCTTGGCCTCGTCAACCTTGTGCTGCATGATTGCAGGCGCGGGACGGGTAAGGGTTCAGCAAGGATTGAATGATCTGATGAAACAAACGCGAAAAGCCGTATCGATTCAGCGGAAGCTGAAGAGGACAGAGCAACAAAAAAGAAGTCAGAGAGATGTGGAAAAGACGAGAGAAATCTGGCAGAGACGATGTAAGAAAGAGGAGAGGAGGTGAGGTGATATTGGACAATAGCATTAATATCGTGCGGAAGGCACGTTGATGACATTGATGAACGTTGATGCCAAAGGAGAGGATGCAAAATGACAGCTACCGAGATGATTACTAAGGCAACCAGACCAATAGCATTGTAATATAGTACAGCCAATTATATTACCTTAAATTTAATTAGTAAGACATGTTAACAATATTGACCAATAATACGTAGAAAAATCTTACAGATGGCGGTGGCGGTGGCACAGGTAGATGATATAAGTCCGGCCCGAGGTGATGACATCATCACAGAGACATCACGTCGGTTTTCTTTTGGAGGCTCGCAACGACATTCAACCTGATATTAACAATTGATATCTGGGATCTTCTTCTGATACAGGTTAATAGTAATATATCACCATCTACCAGGCCTAATTCTCATGCGACGGATGTCCTGTATACCCCACAATGGAAGCCGAAAAACAGGAGCAGACACCGGCCTTAGCCAGCCTACCACCAGAGATTATGTCCATGGTAGCAAGCCATCTCCCACCGGTTGATGTGGCCTGCCTTGCCCTATGTAACCACGCAACTCTTTCTATCCTTGGAGCGTGGGACATATTGGATGCGTTTCCCAATGATCGGCAGGTGTTTTTAAACCGACTGGCGGCTGACCTCCCACCGTTCTACTTCTGCCACTTTTGCTCTATTCTCCATCCTAGGGACTGCCTCGATCTTCCTGGGCCAACACTCCTTCCTAAACCTCCACTTTATTTTCATGAGGGTAGGGTTAGCTCCCTCCGTCCATTTCTTGTGCACCCAGAGCTGGACTCTCTTTATTCCTTCTACCACTACCACTTGCAGCTCGCTATGAAGAGGCACTATTGTGGACCGGAGCACGGTATCTCGACGGATTCTCTACTCTTTACCGAAGTTCATAGACAAAAAGAAACCTCTACTACCTCTTTGTTATCCGTTGAAGCCCGGGTCTGCTCGGGTCCTTGCCTATGTCTGCGGATTCAAACGTGGGCCGCAGTAGAGACCCGAAGCATAGATAGGCTCATTCTCAACATAAATTTTGTATTTCTCTGTGACCATGTTGGACTGAGACGTGTTGGAATAAGAGGCCAAAACCCAATAATGCCTCCATTGGTTAGGTCGGCATTCACCAAGTCCAAAATCTCTAAACAGCGTGGACTCCCCTTTGAACCAGATGTCTTCAACTGTCGAGCATGTGGTGCTGACTATCAGGTGGAGGTAAGAGCTCTTGACAGAAACAGACTGGCTCTAGTAACTACTAAATGGATAAATCTTGGAGCCGGCCTTGACCCTAATGATATCCGTTGGAAGAAGAATAGCCAGATACAGTATTCTGTCGACTCGGATGCTATAAGATCGTCTAGAGAGACTCTATCTTTGTTTGAGGGTGCAGAAGGCCCCTCCCTGGATTCTCTAACCCAGAAGAACGAATCATACTTATTATATGATAGTTATATGTACTCCTTGGACCACTGGAAGTTTAGAATCTGGATGATGCAAGGCGGAAAACATGGCTGGTGGTTCCATTTCTCTTATAAAGTGGCCGGAATTTTTGTCCAATTTCTTCTTCTCTGGCCATGGTGGACTGGTGCCGCTGTGCTTTACCTTTCTGCTTATTGGTATAACGTACTATAAATCAGGACAATCTCTAATACGGATCCGTTTTATTTATCTCTCTTCCTACCTAATCACCCAGCACTGCCTCTTACGGATATCTCTTCCTGCCTATTATGTAGGCATTGATATGTTTCCACCTCTTGATGACTATATGCCATCATATGGAAGGAGACATCGATTCATGGGCTATTCTTTCCTATTATCAGTTGCAGAAGGTGCTGATAACACTTATATATATACCAACAAGACCCTTTGCTCTTTCTGTTCTGTTATCCTCTATTGTTTTTTCCATCCTCCGATTAATGTTGACTTTCTCGCGTTCTTCCTCTGCTGACTAGCTCCTTCCGTTCTCGGAAGGGGGCTGGTTTCTATAGCGACGCGGAGCGCGTCCTATATACAACCTTTTCTTCTTCTCCTCCTCCTTTTCTTTCTCTTTTTTTCCTTCTCTTCCTCGCGCCGTGACGCCACACCACATTATCACATATATATTTTCCAATTATATATTGTTATGATGGCTAGCGAAAAGCCGACCATTTGGGCTATTCTACAAACGGGGCAGCCTAGCTACAAGCCTTGTGGCCGATCCTGGTTGTAGCCGTGCCATACATAAGTAGGCAATCACGAAAAAACTAATCGGCACCGGGGGGAACCACCTGACTGTTGAAGAAGACGGATTGGTTCTTAGCAACCGTCAGACGGATCCAAACAGTTCTCTGTCTGGATCCGTGCGCGGACTGGCAAAGTCTATTGACAACCTTGCCGGAAGAGTTGACAAGCAAACACAGATGATGAGCCAGCGAAAAGGCTCAGGGGTTGACACCCAGGAGAGGAGGGCTTCTCCCATAAGCCCCCCTTAGGGTAAAACCCCAACAGGACCCTCCTTGAATGAAAGGTTTTCATTCGGGGCATCGCGGTGTGTGAGGTTCCCCGCACATCGCGAGGCATCAGCGACGAGCTTGCACTTCTATGCAATACCATCCTCGTGCTCTTAAGCTGAAGCTAAGACGAGCTCATTGAACGGTATACAATGTTGACACAGGTATGCAACGTTATTTTCCGCACAATAAGTGTCACAGGGAATTGGATATGCGAGCTCATGAATAATTGTCAATTTACTAACTGGGATTCGATATCTAGACATACGATAAAAAAACCTTCCCTAGTTTATGAAATATATATATACATATAAGTAATGCTATATTTGTGATGTGCAATGCTAGCAGGCACCCAACAGTAAAAAGACCGCTGAGCTATAAGAAAAAGAAGAGCCGAGCGAAACCTTCTAGCTAGCTAGTTGAATAAGCTGCGTCTGGCTGTTAACATATTGGATGTGTGTATGTTAGAGGATGTGTGTATGTTAGAATCAGACTCGTAAGTCAAACACCGGCTCAATAACTAGCCACTACACAACTGTCCATCCTCTATCTATTATCTCATCCAGATATGGTGCTAACGCCCAGTCTGAACCTCGGCTCCCTAATTCAAAAAATCCCACCACCCCTCCGCTTTCATCTTCGTCAATCACTATAGGCGAACCACATATTCCGGCACAAACCTCCGCTCCAGCAGGACCAATATACCGGTATATATTTTCTGTTTGGAAGCGGGTAAACTCAACTTCAATGCCCGGAACCTGGGGAGGAGCGAAAAGTTGAATCCCAGCGACTCTCAAAAATACTAAACCACTTGCCATTCCATCAAGTGTACACCAGGTATTGATTGGTACCTCACTGGAGCGAAGAAGTCTCTTAGGTTGTTGAGACTCAAAGTATTTGTTATTTGTAAATGATGTCGACGGATGAAGTTTGACTAAGGCGACATCGAGAGCTGTGAAACGTTCACTTATTTGTCCTATACAGAGTCCATCGGGGAATAATGAAGGATGGTACACGTCATCGGAGTACGGGAAACTATGATTTGATACTGTTAATCTGGAGCCTTCAGAGGATCTAAGTAATACACCTGCTGTTGTGGCTATTGTTGTATCAAGGTAACCTCCGTCTATAGAGGTTGTACCACTTTCTACTCTAACGCCAGGACATAAGCTGTGTAGTTCTGTTGAAAGATAATTTGTCATATCATGGAGACTGGCGGTTGGTTTAATCACGCGCTCTCGCCCTTGGACCTTAAGGTCCCAGAAAGGTGTTTGGCTATGGTGGTATAATGTGAGATGATTCGCGACTCTCCCTGGTAGTGATCTCCTTTCGTACACCCGTCCATCATCAGCTCTAAGTTCAACTATAATTATAGAATGAACAAAGCTGATTGACCTAATATTCATCATATCCTTGAGCTTATGGAATACCACTTGGTACTCCTCTTTTGATGGTTTGCCCCATTTACTATAATGGAATATCACAGGGATAGGATCAGGTAGTCTCGGGTTGCAATAGCTGATATCTGCCGATAGCGGGTTGACTGGGTGGTCTGGTGGGACAAAAAGACATGGGACACAAGCTACCGTTAAAGGCACTGGAACTGGGGGCGAACGCGTCTCGATAAAGATTTCTGGCCATGAGATAGTTAGCCCAGTTGCAGAGAATGTGTTTAGTATCCATTGTTTCTCGGAACTTGTAGGGTAGCGAAAATCTTGTTGTGAGCTATCCCAGAGCGTGAATGGCGCCTTGTCTGTAATGTGTCTTGACCAGCTGCCATCATCTGTCGTGGCCCAAGATTGCTCTGGACGACGGGTAGCTTGCTTTTGCTCCTGCACTTTAACATCGCTGTTGTCCGGATGGGCGTGTGTGGGCCCTGAACAAAAGCTCTCCCACGGCTCACCGCGCGATGGAAAGGCGATGTAAGGAGTTGTATATCGAAGAGAATTGACTGGAGAAGCTCTTTGATAGAACGCCATGCCGATAAATGTGATCTTAGTTCAGCAAGCAAAGGTGATGAGGAAATAAAAAACAAAGATAGAAGAAAATATACGTTGCACAGCGCGGTCAGATCAAGGGTTCTTATATGTCCCTAGTTAGTTCGTTCTCGGGAAAGGCTATGACCTCATCTACGGCCACTTCCACAATTAGTTACCTTTTCTCTACCTATATGGTTAACTAAAGACTCGCCACATCCATCAACTTAACACAATAACTAGCTATAGTGCTCGTTGGCTTGGATTTCATTTTAATTCCTCCTCCATCTCTATTTAACTAGCGAGTAGTAGCTATGTCATCGATGCAGAATAGCGACACCACCAATGGTGGTGAGGAAAACAATCCTATGACGATAGATGACATGAAAGCATGTTATTCTCAAGCTGACGTCGAAGATGCTATGTTTACCCGCAATTATGTTGAGTATTAACCTCCATTACTCCTATTCTCCGCAATACCCACTAACAAGATCACCAACCATATCCAGGTACCGGAATAAAGAAATAAAGAAGTTACAAGACGACATCGAGACAGCAAAGTCGTCGAACGACGTCGCTGGCGTGGAACACCTTGAGAAATGCTTGCGGGACTACAAGGCGGAAACGCCATCTTTACCTCCGTAAGTATAGCTGATCGACACTGACAATCCAGCCACTACCACAATAACTAGTTATAGGTGGTTTTTAGTTTGATCTAACGAGGGAGTAGTATTGACCCTACTGAACGGGGAGACCTGGACGCGGATGTACTTTGGAGAATCCGCGTCCTAAAGTACCAAATTTATCCCGACTCCAGTGACTTCCTACGTGAGAATATAAATGCTATTCTGAACGCGTATCGTCGGGGAGAGCTGAAATTAGACTTTGATCAAGTCACTGTATGGTTTGCAGGTAGGCTTGTTTATGGGCCTGTTCCACGGAAAAATTTTAACCTCGGGGCAATGGTAATGGAAAAGGGGCGCGGCTTTTATGAGAAGTATGGCCCAGGCACCCTATGGGCTGAACCGGTAGCTATCCGAACCCTTGAATTTCTATTTTGATATTTTATTGATAAATTATCAACTTGCTGAGATATGAGCCTTTAGAACATACCGGTTACCCAAAAATGATACGTGCAAGACTTACTCCTCAAAACGAGTTTCATCACCACATGGTTTGTTAAGCATCACTACATCACTTTCTGGCTTGGCTTGTATTCTTATCCAATAGCTGCTATTATTTCAGTGTCAAAGTTAGGGGGATTGGACTCGCCCATGAAATTACAGTTGACAATGTTCTTGACGATACAGGCTCATCTTACTTTGAGCTATTTGGTAGAGATCTCACTTGTCTCCAACTACCTCCAGATTATCCAAACTTGTTAGGTACTGCCATAATGGATATTGCCAATGGTAGAGTAGAGCGGAGAATACTGAATGTAGAAGTGCAACTTCTAATAGATGGGGTCCCTTTCGGGCAGTTTGTACAAACTACCAGCTTTCTTACTCCAAGAAGCCCGGCAGGCTCCAGTCACTGCTCTGGGATGTTTCTCCGCTCCTTATTTTTTACCGCCACCTGCCCGGATGGGCGAGGAATGCTTTATGTTTCAGATAAAAAAACCGGTGTAACAGGCCCTCTTCCTGCAGTCTAAATAACTTGATGGGAAGAATACCGTCTTCTGTACTAATACTTGTGAATTTTGCCCCTGAGGTTTTCGATACAGTATCTGCTTAATGCTATCAATTCCATACCACATACTTGGTATACAAATGGTTACGCATATTTTCTGACTACAGAACAAAATTTTTATACTATCAATGTGTGTATATTTCGCTATTCAATATATTTATGGGGTATAATTAAGAAGAAATTAGTCTATGAGCTTATTTAAATGTAATAACTAATGAAAGACAACTTAACGCGTCTGGGAATTTGTAGTGCTAACGCGGGAAAGACCGGTATTTACACGATCAATATCGTAGGGGTTCCCTTCATACTCGACGGTTGCTGCTGTACGAGTACGCGTGAGACCAGATCGAGCAGATTGTATTCTGTCCAGCACCTCTCGTGCTTCTAGGCTGTTTCTTCTCGGTATAGGGCCGGCCTCTGATACCTCTAAATCACTCTCAAGGTGCGCTGAGTTTGCCTGCATAAGTTTTTGCATAAATGCATCCGCCTCCCCAGCAAATTTGCAGCGTTTTCGAATGTTTGCGCCGTATATGTAGAACAAGAAAGGAAAGGGAACACACGCCAGTGCCAGGAAGGCGGGAATAGTTGAGGCCCAGTGGATTCCAAGGTTCTGGTACATATATCGGGTAAATAATGGGAACGCTGCGCCAAACAGAGATCGAAGCACAGAATTCGCGGCAAGGACCGAGGCAGCATATATAGTATATGCATCAATGAGATAATTCATTAGACTCAAGAAAACAAGGACCATGCCGAAGCCAAACGGAGCCGATGCTATGATTGATACAATCCAATGTATCTGAGGTCCATTAGTCCAAGCAAACCAGAAGAGCCCGATCGGAATAGCAATTCCCCCAATAATCGCAACTGGCAGCCGTTCTTCAGGAGGTGCGAAGCCATTGTATTCCTTCGAAACTTTTGCATATCTTTTGTTATCTAGAAGGTTGATAACCATAGCGGCGAGAATTCCGCCAAGGACTCCCAAGAATGCAAGCCCTCCGATTCCGGGGCTCCAACCCCTATGTTGCTGATAAACGACCGGAAATGCTGAAAAGAGCATGTAAAGTGTTCCATAGACAATTGCCATATATGTTGACAGCAACAAAACGATGGGTTCGCGGAATAAGAGAATCCAGGGTCGCATGAGTGCAGTCTTGAAAGCTTGTCCAATGGATAATTTCCCTTGTTCAATATCCATTCTGCTCGCGTATACCTTTCCAGTAAGTTTAGACAGTCGCTGAGCCCTCTTGCGAAGGAGCACAGGGGGATATGTTTCCGGAAGGAAAATAGAACCAATAATCCAGACAACTCCAGAGAATATGGCCAGGAATCCTTCGACCCATCTCCAACCTGCTGACTCTCCAAGAAATCCTCCAATAACTGGACCCAGTACTGGGCCCAAAAAAGGGGCTATGGCGAATATGCCCATGGCCAATCCACGATGTGAAGCCGGAAACATATCTGCAATTACACCCCCGGCATTAGTCAAAGGGGATGAGCCAAAAGAACCAGCAAAGAATCGGAGAACAAGCAACGTTGCCATATTAGGGCTACCAGCTGCCCCAGCATTAAAGGCTGTCAAAGCAAGGTAGGTGCCGAAGAATAGCAGTTGGCGGCCAAATAATTCGCTCATAGGAGCCCATATCAGTGGGCCGATTGCAAAACCAAGGACGAACAAGGAGACACCCAGTGTAATAACTTCCGCGTCAGCATGAAATTCTTGAGCAATTTCGATTGCTCCTCCGGTATATGCAGACGATATCAAGGCGACGGCAAGCGTAGCTATGGCAACAACGAAGGTGATCGACCATTTTTTCACGGCAGAGTAGTTCATCGGGTTTCGAGGATCGCTTGGAATCCATTGTACAAGATAAGGGTCTGCTTCCGTTCCGGAGCCTGGGTAGGGATAATTAATTATCTCTGGTGTGACGGCGCCTGGATCAGTTACTTGTCTCCAGTGAGGAATCTTGGTCGGTATCGACTTCTCTCCCTCCATGGCATTGGCATCAGCCATACCTTCTTATTGTTGTTCAAGTGCAGAGCCGCCCTCCAAGCAGTAGCGATATAAAGGAGAGCCAGCAAGGTAAAGGGGCTACTGTTCGATAAGCGTTAGGGTAGAACGGGGTTGCTGCTTAGTGTGATTTTAGGGATACAAATGATGCCGCCATCTAACTAAGGGGGAAAGCAGGTGCTTTTTAAAGCGATGCGCACGCAATCGATCCTCGTCATCGGGTGAGCCGGGTTGGACTAAAAAAAAAAGTCTGATAGTGCAAGCTGATACAACTGCATAAGTGGATACATAACAAGCTCCTTCGCGCTGGTGAAGTTTCTTATCACCTCCTTTGGCAATCCAAGGCGCGGCAAGTCGAAGATATGACGTTAACAAGAGGCCCTAGACCTCGGCTGAGTCAAAGAAAAGTGCCGTGACCCGAATACGAGTTCGTATTCTAAGTATCCTGGTTCGCTCGTTTCCTGACGGACGACCTTTGGTCCGAGTAACTGGATATGAAATTTTCTTTTAACGTTTATTCGGTCTCACTTCCAGTGCCTCGGCTGTTTCTCTAGCGAAGCAACGAAGAGAATTCCGCGTTTTAGTCTAAGGTGTAAAGTAATTGAGGATGCTGCAATCCACTCCGCGAGCCCCTGGAAAACCCGTCCAGCGGCTAACAATGATCCCGTGCCTGTGTGGGTTAATATTGGAGGACAAGCCTTGAAACGGATATGTTCATTGTCTAAATGCTTGTTGGGCTTGTTTTGCTCTGGCGGGCGGTAGCTCAGCACAACAGATCAAGGCTCTATACTCCGTAGAGCTTCTGACAGTCCTAAAGTGAGATAGACTTTTTATTTTGGCGGACGGGAGCAGCCTAAAACTAGAATCGTACGATGCTGTGGCCTCCTTTGCTATGACTAGTTAGCTTTCCCGGGCTATAAAAAGACCCCGTCTAATTTTGTTAACTTGTGGCCTCCAAAATTCAAGCTGTGCCAGCCAGTATCACTTTGCCTGATGGCGGCGGCACGCCTATCTTCCCTTTATTCTTCCCCTTGGTGTGCACCCTTTGATCATTCGGGTCGAAGCCACCATTCCCCCACAATGCCCATTCCTCGGTCTCGCGCATATAGTCTTCAGGAGTAAAGGATTCACCAGTTTGCTTTTCACGTTCCAGGAGTTCAAAGAAGCGCTCATAATTGATCCTTGTATGCCATTTGCCGTTTATCAGGAAACGCTTGGATGCAAGCAGGACACAACAGCTATGAGCATGCTCGGCGGATAATCCATATGAAAGGCCACGCCGTTCTAATTCCTCATTCAGTGCAACCACAAACGCAACAATTTCGTGATAAAAAGGAACATTCTGCATTGTTAAGCCCGCATTTGAACTGGAACTTGTTCCACAGTAAGTCACACCTTTTATTTCGATAAAACAAGGAAGACCTTTCTCGACGAGGTCAGCGTAGCCCTCGACCTCATCATCGATGTTGAATCCTTTGACGAGAGTAAGTCGATACACAGTCCTGTGCACATTTCTCTTTTCTCGAAGTATATCCAGACAACGCTGGAGGCGTTCCCAGAAGTCTCGATGCAAAGGTCGGTCAATTTTGCGGAGGCTTTCGCGATTACTAGCGTCAATGGACACATATAACTGTGTCACTCTTTGAAGGGCAGCCAATTCATCAGGATGCTGCGCATTGCAGACCAAGAAGCTGGAAATATGCTCACCATGGAGAAGAGAGAGCAACTCGTTGATGTGAGGATAGAAAATCGGCTCGCCGACCAAGCTCAGGGCGCAATGCCTGATCCTCATGGCTTCTGCGAAACGCTCGGCCCTAACTCCGGGAACACCGCGCAACATCTTGATTTTCTTGTAATGACCCTCCTTGACGCCATTGAAAATTAGCTCTGGAGGATCGACTTTCCAGCGCCATGTGGTTCCAACCGGATTCGTTCCATGTCGCCAACAGAAAATGCATTTGTTACTGCATGAGAGGGAAGGTGTCGATTCCATACAAAGGTGCGATTTGATTCCATAGAAAGAGTTTTTGTAGCATGAACCACGCCCACGTAGGGCTGATTTTGTCCACCTGCAGATTTTGACACCAGAGTGAGATCCAACAATGGTGTATCCCTGTTTTGTCAATGCAGTATACGTTGGAGAAGTTGACGGTACCATTTCCTTGCTGGAAAGCGATGATATTTTGGTAGAAGCATAAGTGGTGAAGTCAATAGGTTCATCATCAAGAAGGACTTCTGGATTGAATTTGATATCTTCAAGGTCGGCAACTTGGGAATTTCTGGTTTTCGTTCGTCGTGGGCGGTTGAGGTTTTGGGGCTGCTGACTGTCTTCCTCTGCATCTTCCTCGTCACTTTCTATAGGGTCACCGCTACCCGGAACACCTTCACCCAGGCCACCACCATTCTCAGATATATCATGGAGCACCGAAACGATCCCGTCACACCACTCTTGCAAAGAGTGGTCTCCGTCAGTCTTCGCGTCCCCAAACCCGAGAGGGTAGGCGCGCCGTTTGCCAGTCAGCTTGGCCAACCACTTATCAACAGCTACCGCCTGGGAACAAAAGCCTTCTTCCACAGTTGGCCATCCTTCTTTATCGCCAAAACCGAAAACAGAGTACCCGGTCAGACCGGACAATGGCGAAGTATCAATGCGGAAGTCATTGTGAGTTTCGTCTAGGTGGTTGAGGAAATTATTGATGATGCTGTCAATGTCATAGCTTGGTAGTATTATGCAATACAGGTACGACAATCCGGGCTCTGATGTCGGTGGCTTTGGTGCAGTCACAAAGTAGTCGTCGAAATCAATGTAGGATAAATCATGTAATTCAGGGTCGAGAACCTTGCATTGGGCATTCTGCGGTGCTGCTTGTAACTTGGATCTCACACTCTCGAATGCAGCTCGAGCACTTTTCTCTGTGGTGCCCGTCAAAGAAGTAAAGAAGAAGATGGGTCGAATGGCAGAGACAGCTTGAGCTGTGACATTGGCAACCCCCTTCAACGGCCTCAAACCACGGAGTCTCTTTGGCCCAGGCTTAGGTTCACTTTTCAAAGGTGTAGACTTTGCTAGCGTTGTATTTCCTGGCTGTGCTGGTTTATCACTAATAGTTGTCTTTTGAGTAACTTGCTCCACTCCTCTCGGTTGGCTTTCCACCTGCTTGCGCTGGCTCGAGAATTTGGTTACTGCGAGAAATGTGACAACTATAATAACCAATATATATGCCCGATAAGCATGCCATAGTGATAAAGCGACTAGAATCCCAGCGGTTAGTTATCGGTGACTAGCGGGGAAGGGGAACAATCGCGTGCTTATCCATTAGTTATCTCTCACTTTGAAGGGGTATGGCAGCCATGGTTTGCTAGTACCAGGTTTTATTTTGCCAGACACAGTGCGGGCAGGAAGCACCGCTTGGTAGATCTTGACCTCTTTTTCAACGAGATACGTCGTCTTGTGCGGAGTAGCAATGGATGGAATATCTATCAGGATACAATCTTTTACCTTTAATATTCTCTTTTTTTCCTTAGGTAATCCTGCTGGGCGGATGCTTACGTCATGTTTGCACTGTTTACGTCCGGATTAACTATTTTCTATGCCAAGACTGAGGGGCCAGAGATTCGCAACGCCCGAAAAGGTCAACGTCAAACATCGAACATCCATTCTGAATATGAATCAACGCTCAATTGAAAGAGAAGTGGTTAAGCTTGGAAATGATTCTGATTAATCTAAGACTTAAACGTCTATTACAACATGCGAACCCTTCAGTCTATCGTGCTGCAGAAGGTGATAAACTATGAAAACAATTCCCATGTTTTTTTGCCGTTGTGAAAAGCCAGATGCTCGCATGCTCCCAAAAGCAACAAGGATATATCCCCATAGAAATGACCCAGAACGCCATACGGAACGCTGAAAGATAAAAGACAAGCGAAGACCAAAAAAAAGTCGAGATATACAAATGAAAGGGAAAAGGTAAAGGGGCCCGGATGGTTCCCTGGATCGCCTTCCGCGTCCTACACTGGCCGAATGGCGCTGAGTGTATCATCAAATGAAATCAAAAGAACAAGGGAGAGACATGATAAAAGCGACGATAGTATTGTCGAGAGAATTAGAAGGCAATTCGGCTTCGGAGTTCCTTCCAGAGGGCAGTCTGGCTGGCAGTTGAGCGTTCGATGGCATCTCGGTTCTCTTCTGCGCGACGAAGGAGGTACATGACACACTCCTCGGTGGAGCCCCAGACGACGTACTTGTACACCTGGGCGTCCTCATCAACCTCGCTGGTGGACTGGGTGATGCTCATGGAGAGCTCATCGGCCATTCCCATAAGCTGGGAGTAGACGACGTCAGCAAGGGGAAGGCCGTGGCGGATCTGGTCCTGGCGTAGGGCACGGATCTTGTTAGTGCTCTCCTTGTTGTGACTGGCGAGCACCAGGCTTATCTTGGGAGCGGAGTGGTCTTCGATGTGCTGGGTGGCCAGCATATGAGCTGCTTCGTCAAAGGCATTATCAGTCTGCTCCTTGGTATCGAAGATGACATGGCGAGGGTCAGAGTTGATGTAAGCACCTCGCACGAGCTTGACACCGAGGGTGAATCCTTCTTGCTTGGCTCGCTGCAGGTGCATGGCCAGGGTAGCTGGAGAATCCTTGAGGTACCTATAACATGGGTTAGCCCTGGTTCGATGAATGTTAAGAGACAGGTAAGAAACTCACATCTGATATGTGTTGTAGATGACGGTCTCACCATCCGTGTTGTATCTCTGCATGAGGTCCATGGTCCAGGCATCGATGCTCTTCTTCTGGGAGTAGTGCTCGGCATCAACGCAAACCCTGACGTTGTTCTGCTTTGCTTGGACACAAATTTGCTCAAGAGCATCGGCAAGGACAGGGTCGATAACTGCACCCTTCTCGAGCAGCTGGACAGCCCCCTGCCCGGCACCAGAGTACTTGATAGCAATGAGATCACCAGAGCTGGAGTACTGAATGGTTTTGAGAGTGCCATCGAGCCACTGGGCGACCTGCTTGCGGTGCAGGGTCTCCATCTCGGCTGGAGTGCCTGTCTGGTCGATATTGTGGTGTGTGTCGACCTCCTTGGCGTAGGAGAGAATGGCACCGCGGTATCCCATGGCCTTGAGCCCTGAGACGGTCTGTCTGACCTCAGCCTCGTTACGGCCGGCGCAGAACTGGGCATAGAAGATGTTGTCGAGAAGGTAGTTCAGGACCGGATTGCCCGTGATGACCTTGAGGTTCGATTTGAGCAGACTAGAGGCAATATCCATGAGAAAGGGGCGGGACATGGCAGTCTGAATAGCAATGCTGCGGAGAAGATCCCTGTTTGGCAGTCTATCGAGGGCTCTTTGTGGCTGCTGCTGTGGTATCTGATGCCCAGCGACATCCTCAGCAGCACTACCACCGCCGCCAACTACTGGAACGACAGTCTGAGGTACCTCCGCGCCGGCACCCCATGCTGGTCGAGGTCCCAGGGATCCCTGATTGTCCGTGGGGATGTGAATGGGGCGGAGCTTCAAAGACGAAGCATTCTGAACGGTGTTGGTGATGGGAACACGTCTGATGGCAGACGCTGCTTTGGCGGTGGTACGAATGTAGGATGGTACACGAGAGGCCATTTCACTATGTGGAGGTTTATCTGCAGTGTGCTGTCTCTTCTGATAATGATCTGGTTTGGTCTGAGGAAAGGAAGAGAGAAGGAGGAGGAGGAGGAGGAGAGGGAGTCAACAGTGAGGAAGGGGAGGGAGGGAGGAAATATATAAGTGTGACTTGACGGTGTGCCTGTCCAGGCGGGACGGAGGAGGTAGAGTGTGACGGCGAGACGGAGGAAGCGAAGAAAAAAGGGCGAAAGGGCGAAGCTGCTGCTATCGGCGGAACGAGAGAGAAGAATGTCGTCTTCCGAGAGTCCGTAAGCGACCGTTTCCGGGCCTTTCCTGGCACTTCCGCCCTCACATGACCCAACTTCGCCTCCTTCCTCTTAGCTTTTTGTTTTTTCTTCTCCATCTTTCCCCCTTTTGGCGCCAACTTTACTCTTTTTTTGTTTTTCCTTGATTACTTAAAAATCAATTGCGTTTTTCTGGAGTTGCTTCTGCGAGTTTCTTGCAACAATTGTGGAGTACTGTTACCTGTAGGGCCCGCTGCTGCTGTTCAAGCTTATCTCTTGGCCGGAACGCCAGGTCTTCTGCACGATGACTCCTGAATGGACGGAGTACGGGGGGGAAGAGGGAGTAAGAATCTTCAAAGGGGACACCTCAATAATGCGGCCAGTCAATGATGTGACGGGAGCATCACACAGCCAAGGACCGACCGGCTCGATGGTCATTCAACCTTTAGTCACTACTCTGTACTCCGCACTCTCTTGTGTCTTCTCCGTGAGGTCACCCGGAGAGCGTTTGCTACTCCGGCACTGCCGAGGGTAGGAAAACGTTAGCGAAGGAGCGGGAAAGCGAGGAGGAAAAAGTTGAGCTATCCAGGTGACAAGTGCTGGTGGATAAAAAACAGTCGTAGTAAGCAAGCAAGGCTTCTCCGGAACTCCGTGCATATACTCCGTAGCTTAGTAGGAGCTAACTAGCTAGGAGAAGCGTGTCTAAGCATGAATAATGAAGAATAATGCGGGTGGACTATCCAAGAGTGGCTGGCTGGGCCCTCCTAGTCCAGGGCGAGATAACACCGAGAGACGGCCACGTTGGCTCCTGGAAGGAACTAGGCAGATTCGCGGGGGGGAGAAAGCAATTCACAAAAAGGCACAACCAAGCCCTCTAGCCTACGCTTGGCCCTGCGCAAGGCCTGGACTATTATTCTTTTTATTTTTTATTATAAGTATATTTATTTTTCGCCCTCCCTTCCTTGCTTTTGTTTTCTTTCTTTCTTGCTTTTTTTTTTTTTTTTTTTTTACTTTTTTGTTTGCTGATGCAGCTCTCCCTTGTGTGCGTGGCAGACGGCCGATAGGGCGACAGATGGAAATAAGCGTCGCACGGATCTCGGCATGCAAGATCTGCTCCCACGTCTTATCTCTGTTATTAATAATATACCAGGCACTATCAAAGTTGTTCGGCTGCGCGTAACTTTCGTAGTTTAATCGAGATAAGAAAGTTCCAGTAAGCTTTTAACCTTTTGATCTAGCTTTAATCGGCTCGTACTAGTACATACATGGTTAGACAAGGAGCTTGGGGCGCAGTGAAGCTGACTGATCCAGCCAATGGGGGAATAAAATTAAAGTGCAAAAAGAAAAAAAAAAAAAACGCCTGGAGAGCCAACAACAAGGAGAGAAAAAAAGGGGGCCAGGGTTCAAGCCCTAACTGCCCGAAAGCGGATCCTCGGCAGGGGTCACGGGACAGGTCACGGGGTAGGGCAGAGTTTTCTTCGTTTCTGTTTATTTTAGGGTATTTTATTAAGGCCTGGACCGCCTTGGCAGGGCCGGCCGATGTCGGGCAAGCAGCATGATAGAAAGGATAGCATCGTGAGCGACGAGAGCGACGAGGTCTACTTATTTGTTGCTGGGATACTCGACCTCTGAACAGCCGAGGAAGTCCTCCTTGATGGAGCGGATGTTGACGAAGCGGGTGAGCAGGTTGGCGCTGCCGGCCTTGTCGTTGGTGCCGCTCGCCCGGGCGCCGCCAAAGGCCTGTTGGCCGACCACGGCGCCGGTGCTCTTGACGTTGAGATAGAAGTTACCGGCCGAGTGGCGCAGCGCGTCTTCAGCCAATCGGAGCACGTTGCGGTCCTGCGCAAACACCGCGCCTGTCAGTCCGTAATCCGTCGTTCGGTCGATCAGGCTGCACATCTCTCTAAACGCGCTCTCGCCAGCAGCGTCATCGTAGACGTACACGGCCAGCACGGGGCCAAAGAACTCTTTCTTCATCAGCTCGTGCTCGGCATCGCTGACCTGCAGCACGGTTGGCTGCACATAGTATCCCTGCTTCTTGTCGTGGTGGCCGCCGGCCAGCAGCTTAACGCTGGAGTCCTGTTTAGCCGCATCGATGACGCCGGCCAGCTTGTCAAAGGAAGCCTCGTGGATAACGGGGCCAATGAAGTTAGCAAACTCCTCTGGTGGGCCCATCTTCAGCTTCTCAGTCTCGCGGACTAGGATGTCCCGGAATTCAGTCCAGCGGCTCTGCGGCACATACACGCGAGAGGTAGCACTACACTTTTGTCCCTGGAACTCAAACGCACCCCGGACGGTGTTAATAGCAGCGTTATGGATATCGGCAGAGCTATGGATAAGGTGGAAGTTCTTGCCGCCAGTCTCACCCACGACGCGAGGGTAGCTGCGGTAGGTGCCTGCAGCGATTCCCTGGCCAATCTTACCATATAGCTCGCGGAAGACAGCAGTGCTGCCAGTGTAGTGCAGGCCGGCAAAGTCGCGGTGCGCAAGAGCGACCTTGGTTACCATCTGGGCATCTCCGGGCACAAACTGGATCACATCCTTGGGCAGACCGGCCTCGAGCAGGATCTTATGCGTCAGATAATTGGCGTAGACGGCATGTGGGCTGGGCTTCCATAGGACAACGTTGCCCATCAGTGCAGGTGCTCCAGCCAAGTTACCTCCGATGGCCGTGAAGTTGAAGGGCGAAATGGCATAGACAAACCCTTCGAGGGGGCGGTACTCGCTTCGGTTCCACACGCCTGGTGCATGGTGCTCTGGCTGCTGAGCATATAGCTCCTCGGCGTACTGGACGTTGAAGCGGAGGAAGTCAGCCAACTCTGCAGCGGCGTCGATCTCGGCCTGCCATGCATTCTTGCCCTGGCCCAACATGGTGGCTGCCATGATCTCGTAGCGGTATTTCCCCGCCACCAGGTCAGCGGCCTTCAGGAAGACGGAAGCTCGGTCAGCGAAGGGGAGACTCTCCCAGGCTGGTTTGGCCTTGAGTGCATCCTCGATCATGCGCGAGACGTCCGCCTCAGTGGCATTGAAGTATTTGGCGACAGTTTCAGCGTGGGCAGAGGGGTTGCGCTGGACATCGGCGGTGGCAGAAGAAGACTGACCATCCGGTTGTTAGCCCAGGTGACCGTTTCCGGCGTTGAAGAGCGTTTAACTTACATCTTTGAAGTGGTAGGGAACCTGGACGGGGAGAGAGGCCCTGAGCGACTCCAGGGCTGCCTGCAGCCCCCGTCTCTGCTCCGAACCTCGGGCGTAATGATGCTAATTACCAGCGTGCACCAGTCAGCTTTCACCAGCTCACAGAAACAAGCTCATATCCCCCAGATCAATTGGGTTCTTACATTGGGTTCGTTGGCGATGGTGGGTGCTCTGAAGCTGGACAGAGCTCTGTATCGGATGGCGTTGCCGGCCAACGGCTGACGGGCCAGGCCCAGACGAGCGGAGCGGGAGAGCAGCGATGAAGACATGGTCAGAAGGCAGCTTAGCTCTTTATTCCTCGTTTGACGTATCCTGTGACTATGCGAGGTTGTTTAAGGCACAGAGAGAGACGAGGTAACAGGAAGCTGTGAGAGAGAGATGGGATGGACGATGATGACAAGAGAAAAGCTCTGCCTTTTGCTTCCAATCTGGCCTGCGAACGAGGCGGCGACGCCAAGAACCTTCCTTCTTGCTTCTTTTCAGGTTCGTTTTCTTGGGTGCCGGCAGGAAAGTCGCTGCTAACGTCGGAAGGCCGCGGGACTGGGAGGAAAAGTCGGAAAAAGACTTGGAAGCTGTGAAGCTGACTCAGCAGAGCTCCGAGGAAGTTTTAGCAACACCAGAAGAATACTCGATATATAGAGATTGACAATATCGTTCTTATTATTATTAATTACGGAAGTGTCTGTACACGAAGCCGTTTTTACGGTAGTTAACATAAGTCTTGGAGCGGAAAAGAGAGGATACAAAGTGACGAGCCAAGGAAGATGCTGGTTCTACGAGAGTCAGACGTGGCGCCGATGCTGCAGCAGCTGACGCTGGAGGAGTGTCACCGTCTGCTGCAGGCACTCTGGCGCAGTCTGGCAGCATACTCGGCCAATGGTGGCAGCGAGGCCGGAAGCGTCCACCAGCCAATGCGGGAGTCGATACGGACGGCAGACGGCAGCACGACGCTGTTCATGCCAGCGTCTGACACGACAACGACGACGGGCATCAAAGTGGTCACTCTGCCTGGCGCTGGAGGACCCCCCGCAGGAGCCATCGCCCTCTTCTCCCCCAAGAGCGGGCAGCTGGAGGGCATTCTCAACGCCGAGATGATCACCGCGTTTCGCACTGCACTCGCTTCCATGATCCCGTTTCATCTTTTCCAGCTGCCCCAGACTCAAGGTCAGGATGGGCGGGGAAATAGGATGCTCGTTTTTGGCGCCGGCAAGCAGGCGGAGTGGCATATCCGTCTGGGACTGCTGCTTGCTCCCAGCATTGCCTCCGTCACCGTCGTCAACAGAGGTCGTGGGGGGCTCGACAGGCTACGGGCCAGCCTGGGAGACGTTGCTGTCGCCCGTCCAGGCGTTTCTTTTGTCTATATCTCCCGGGAGGAGGAAGAAAAAGAAGGAGAAGAAGCAAAGTACGAGGGCCGGCTACGTGCTGCCGTCTCAGAAGCCGATGTCATTTTCTGCTGTACTCCATCCACCGAGCCGCTCTTCCCTTACTCTTATCTCCTTCGTCAGCAAGCCGGCGGCGAAGGAGAGGACGCTCAGGAGAGGAAGAGACGGTTCGTCTCCATGATAGGCTCGTTCCGGCCGCACATGCATGAAGTTGACACGGACACGTTGCTCTCGGGCCAGACGCTCCTCGTCGACTCCAAGCAAGCCTGTCTCGCTGAGGCGGGCGAACTGATCACTGCAGGGGTGCGGCCTGAGCAGCTTACCGAGATTGGCGAGCTCTTCCCTGCCTCCTCCTCCTCCTCCTCCTCCTCCCTCTTTGCTTCTTCATCCTCCTCGAACATTGTTTTCAAGTGTGTTGGCATGGGGATCATGGATCTCGCGGTTGGGAGGGAGCTTCTCTGCCTCGCCAGTGAGAGGGGAGTTGGTGTCTCCATCCAAGGCTTCTAATTTATGCACCCATGCATGCAAAATTCGACACCTATCATGATCCCCATATGCGGCCCTGTGCCCTGTTTTCATTCCTGTTTATATAGAGTTGCGTGTATCTGACCTAGAATCTCGTATATGCAACCGTCTCCATATTCTTCCCGTATTCTCCGTTCTCTGTAAGCTCCGAAGTTCCCCATCGCAGCAGCCAGTCAGCATCCGCTGGCCTAACAAGCATCAGCCGACCTTCATCTTCTTTTTTTTAGTCTGTTTAGTTCGCTTGTTTGCTTCTCGGGTTTGAGAGATCAAAAGGGAAAAAAGGGCCCCCCCCTCTCTCTCCCTGCATCCCATGCTTATATCTGCGACTTGCTGGGTTCGCAATGGACTACCGGTGTCCTCGCTACCTCGCCTGCCCCTTCGTCACCCTCACAAAGCCTTGTATCCGCTACCTTCACCTGCCCCAGCGCCGTCCTCCCCCTTTTCTTTTCTTCTGCTCCATCCGGGGGCTCCAGAGGTTCGTCAAAAGCCAGCTTATGTAAGAACAGTGCTTAATACGCATCACCTGACCTTCGCCGGAACGTCGGCCTTGGCGCGCTTTTCCGCCCAAAAGAGCGAGAAAGCGGAAGCAACAACGACAAACGACAACGTCTTTCTCACCTCAACGGCTTCATTCTTCGCTCTTCTGCATTCTTCCATCTGCCTCGCTTCGTGGCTTATCTCTCTTAGCCTTCGCCAGCGCCGGGATACGCTCTGCCTGTTGCTTGGGACAGCCCTCCCTTAACCGTACGGCCCTCCACAAAAGCCCGCCCATGATACTGTGGGCGGGAGTTCTGCAATGTCCACCGCTGCTCCCACCGGAAAAGTCCATAAGCGAGCATACCAGGTACACCCCCGTGATTGATACATACCCTCTGCCTGCATTCATCGCCGAACAGAAATTGACTCTTGACCAGGCCTGTATTCCGTGTCGAGAGCGGAGGGTGCGTTGCGACCTAGGTTCCGTCGATCAACCGCACCAAGGGCCCTGCGGTAGGTGTCGGCGGGAACGCAAGATATGTCACTTCTCTGCTACGCGAGGGCGCAAGAAGACTGCACCCACTCCCACTCCTGCGCCCTCTGGCCCCGGTGATTCCATTGCCGGCACCTCGGTGCCCGCCGCCCCCGGCATCACTGCCACTCCTACTACCGCAGGCATCACCCCTACCCGGCCATGGGAGGAGTCGGCAATAGCCATTGCAGGCACCCCAGCGTCGCTCCCAGGGCTCGTTACGCAGGCTGGTGAAAGCTCGGTCAGCCCCATTGCTGTCCCTCCAGCCATCAAACGCGAACACTCCCTCCAACATGTCCTTGCACACGATACCCCGCGTCCCTCCACCCGCGGCGATAAAACGGCCGAAAAGCTGCTTAGAGACGCCGCCTACACTTCTCACGATGCATTGAACTTACTCTTCGAAGCCGGTAGACATAGTGAGCGGGTCTCCAGGCCGGACCATCGCCACCACAACAATCATACCGCTGGAAGCGCCTCCCAAAGGCTGGGTCCGACACCCATCCGCGAGCTCAGACCATCTGCCGCCCCGAGCCTTCATGATAACACTCCGGACTTCCACCCTTGGTCAAACCTGCGTTTCGTCCGCACCGGCCTGATCACTGCCGAAGAAGCCTTTGATCTCGTAAATTACTTTCATACATACCTTGCTCCATTTACTCCAATCGCTTCCTCCTCCTTCCAGGATCCCTCCATGCATGCTGAACTGCTCGAAGAGGAGCCCATCCTCGCCATGACAATCCTCATGCTGGCCTCGCGATACATGAAATTATCAGGACCCGGGTCAATATCTAGATCTTACATGGTTCATGAGCGACTCTGGCAGCATCTCCAAGGGATGATCTCCCGCATGATCTTCGGCCAGGAGCAGTTCACTGGTGGCACGCACATCACGATGCCCCTCCGGAGGCTTCAAACCTTTCTACGCACGATATCCCCTAGCTGCTCAAACTTGGTAGCCTCAGGACACTTGCAGCTGTGAGCCTCCTTTATTGTCGAGTGCATCCACGGTCCCTACATGTACCGCTGAGATGATGGGGACAGCATCGTCGTGAAAGATGATGTCGAAGAACAATTGCAAGCACAGCCGGTATAGGCGGCAGAATACGTATCGACTGGCTCGAACCCGTCTGGAGATCCGATCGGATGTGTTGGTCCATGCTCGGGAATGCTCTCGCTTTGGCTGTTGAGCTCGGTATATTTGACGAATACGACAACACCACTATAGGAGCTCGCGAGTCCCGAAGAGACATCTGGAGTAACCCTTCATCCAGCCAGCGAGCATACCTTGTCCAACATCTACTCTGGGTCTATCTTACACAGACTTCAGGCCGCCTTGGTAGGATCCTTTTTTTTTTCTTAATTCTTTTGACCCCATCCGGAAACAAAGTGACTGATATATTCTATAGGATGGAAAAATTTGACGTCTGTCTCAGTGTCACATCACGATACCAGTATAAAGCATGGTGACACAATTCGCTGTTGGGTGGGCGTCGCTTCATTAATGAAAAGGGGCAATGAGCTGTTGTTTCCATCCCGCGAGCGGACTCGGGAGATCGTCAAGACTGGCGAATATCTAGCTGTCCTTCGTGTCCTTAACCCACTCCTCCGCGAATGGCAGAAAGAGTTTGATCGTGCCAAGTGTAAGTCTTCCGTCTCACTATTTGGGTGTCTAACTGAAATACAGAGCTAATGGGGCCCTCGTTATCCCCTCGACGCAGTGTCAAGGCAAATGAGATCCATCTTGACAATTGAATTCGGATACGTACGGGTATATATTCATAGCGTCGCCCTGCAGGCTGTCATCGAAAATTACTATCACGTCATGCATGAAGGCGGCACTATGCCGGAAGCCAGCTTGCTCGAACCCTTTGAGGGCAACAGGGAATACTTCATGGAAGTAATCGCATCAGCAAAATCGATACTCCAGACGGTTGTCGAGGATCTGCTTCCAGATAATCATCTGAAGCATGTTCCAATTCGAACTTACTCAAGGATTCTTGCCGGTGCTATGTTTTGTTTAAAGGTTGGTTGGCTCCGTGTGTAGTATTTCTGTATACCGCTCTCTAAACCGTTATGTCATCGTTAGGCCACGTCTCTTGGCGCCAAAGACTTTGAGACGTCAGGGTCATTAAGCCTCGTTGAACGCACAGCGGATGCGCTATGCACATGTGTGGTGGATGATGTTCACTTAAGCAACCGATTTGGAGAGTTGCTGCATGCTCTGGCCGCAAGTTTGCGGAACAGAGTAGTGCAAATGACGGCAAGTGAACAACCAAGCGGAAGTATTACTCCCAATACTCTGGCTTCCCATCGTCAATATGCTCAATCTTTTGAAGGTGATACAAACAATCAGATGATGGTGTGTGGCCCTGGCTCCTATCATGAATTGTCCATGGGTCGAATGGGACTGGGGGACCACTCTATCGCTGACCCAGAGTATGACAATTGCCAGGCTGGCTCTACATCTGCTACAGCAGCGGGCACGCCTGCTTATTACGCCATGAACCCGGCATCGGGATTGATTGATCAAGTCCAGAACGATCCATTGATAAACTTTGCCGGGTTGGGCCCCAATCAACTTGGTTGGTCCGGTGGGCAGGACTTTTTCGATATGCTCGGTCCCCTGTTGGACGTACAGTACGAGCAGTATAAATGATAAATTGCCTGCCCGCAACACTTTTTACGCGCGCGCGCGCGCTTTCGCGTGAGAGTATTCAAATGTAGCAAGGGGCCTAGTGTCCCTTATTTTGGCATATCCTCACAGGCGGCGCGCGCCGGCGTTGGAGAAAGGAGGTGAACGAACTGGACATGACCAGTCGAACTATCCGCAAGTTTTCAGTCCCAAACACACCCTTCTCTCCACAAAAACAACCAAAAAATCAACAAAAAATCAATCAACAGCAACACACACCACATAATATTCTGACACGCGCACACACGCACACACATCATGCACTCAGGGCGAACCGCGACTCGAGCTATATCTAACTACAGACAACTCGCAGCCGGCCTCTGACATGGATGTGTGGGAGAAAGTATGCTAACCTCTGCTTGCAGTTAATTAAATGGAACACGATGTGGTGACAGCCTGCCTTGAAAGCAACGGCGGCTTGAGCTCTGTCTCCTGACTTCAAGCGCAGAAGCGATAATACAACACCACAATCAGCAAAAATAGAGGGTACAAAACGCAAAAGGAAAACGACAAGACAGAAGGGAAGCTGGTTCCTGGCGTGATGCTCCACTGGTGGGTGTGTCTTGTGACAAGCCAAAACAATAACCCGTTTCCACCTTGCTTCGAAGGTCAGCTTACTACCATTGTTCGAGAATATCTAACGTGGCTATCTACAGTAATATAGGCACACCACTTGCCCGCCGACGAGTTACAGTCTCTCTACCCCCTCCACCTACCAATCTGCATCCACAACATCAATACCACTGCCAACCAGCAACAACCACGGTGGTTCTCACCTTTCATTAACCAGTTCTCATTCAATAACGAAGTATAGCGGACTAGCTAACTCGAGCCGTACGTCTAGATTGTTTCCTTTCTTTTCTTCTTTCATTTAGATGAATTATCCACACTGCATGCTGCGAGCCAGCGTCGCGAACGGCAGTAAATAGGCGGGACGAGAAGGATAATGACAGGATAGCATTCGGTCTCCCTCATTATCACGTTATCTTTCGATTTTTTTTTTTATCTTTTATTACCGTTATTTACTGTCTTCGGAGCATATCAGATATTAGGTTATGGCGGCCATTCGGAATACTTCTGGTAGGAGACGGCCATCTGCTTCCAAGCTTGTTTGATCATAATGGCTCTCGGCTTTTGTCTTTGCTTATTCATTTCAGCGAGGAGTCAGGCTGGCTTGCTCTTTCTAACTAGAAACTTACAAAGACCTCCTACGTCCTCCCGAGGTCCATCTGCGGCCATGGGAGTCCTTCTCGGCTCTTTCAGCTTTCAGCCATACATGCCATGGTAACCAGCCCTTCGTCAATCTACTATAGTTAATCAGTTATGGAGGATGAACGAACGTTATCATGCTGTTCGTGCTTATATACTAGTACCAGAAAAATGCAGACGTCGAGATAATCGGGAATTGCCATCGATACAATTCTGTAACAGATAAGATTGACGGGAAACACGATGCATAAAGCTGTTGATAGACAGGATAACTGCTTATCCGGGTTGGTCGCCTGAAAGCATCCAACTATCTCCTGCTGAGTTGTCTATCAAACTTG